TACGGAAAATAATTAAACTTAGTTTAAAATTCTTTTAGATTAAATTTAGAGATTTAACTCAATTTTTCTAGTAAGTGAAGGAAATCGCCTAAAGTTTTGATTATTGTTGGAAGGTTTTCATGCATCTGAAATGTACTTAAAGATGTTGTGTTTCGAATTTCAGAAAATCTTAAATGGTCGTTTTTAAATGATTGAATGATTAGACTCGCTTCGTATGATGATAATGAATCATTGTTGACTCTTTCTGGATTCCTAATTTCTGTTGAATTCAGGGTTTTTTTAACTTCCAGTCTGAGAATGTTGGCTCTCATTGATCATTTGATTGGTGATTTAAATTCACAATGTCTGTCCTGGAGCGTTCTCGTGGAGTTACTGTAGAATATACGCGGTTGGAGTTATTGTACCGGAATCCTTTTCTTCATTTATTGGCCAAAGCGAAGCAAAATCCTAACAGGGAATATCGCAAAATCCTATCTTGGGACATTGGGATAAAGATATAATTTCTTAGTTGCATTTTACCTGTCATATTTTTACAAATGAGAATTATTCTGTCTCTACTTTAAAATATTCGCTAGAGAGCAAACTTGATAAATGTTACAGTTATTTTTGATTTTTAACTCAAATAGATTAGGCGGAAGTCGTGTTTCCATGTTTTAGAATAGCAAAGTCGGCAACGTACTGGACTGTGGACCCAAGAATGCCGGGATCGAATCTCACCATCAGCAGGATATTTTCGGACAAAATTACTAATAAATTTTTATTTCAGATGTATATTTACACAATAAATCCGTATAAATAAAAAAATCTCCAGAGCAAATTAAAATTTCTTTTTGTTGAAGTTGTTTTTTTTCTGTGATTATAAGATCCTATTAAAATGGTCAATAGGTTTACCTTCAATTTGATAAGAAATTTCAAGGGTATTAATATTCTATTAAACAACGTTATATCCTATTGCAAAGTTGAATAGGATTTGTACGTCTCGAATAGGCATCCGATGCATGTAAAAATCCTATTAAGTTACATTCAGTCCTACTGAAACGTTCAATAGATTTAACTTCAATCTAATAGCAAATCTCGGAAGCATTAAAATCTTATTAAATAACATCGAATCCTATTGGAACGTTGAAAAGGAAAGAAAAAAGTTTAATAGTGTTCTGACTTCGAGTCGGCCGGGATGAAAAAAAATCGAACCAAGTGGGCTGTAATATCAATTCAGGAGGTTCAATGCTAGAAGGTTCATTAAAACACTTTCAAGCACAAAAGTTCTGTGGTTTTTCTGGGGTTTTATTAACAAAATTACTTAACCTGTGATTATATATATACTTAGATTAATTATCTTAGACCACGTGTAGCGATAGGCACACAATACACCGGAGTTGTTCGGGAGTGTGCTGTACGTGAGGCACTATGACGTCGACGCTAGCACAGTTTCGCGCCCAAAGACACACAACTGCTTTTCCTGGACCACTGGCACTGTTGAGACTGATAATTCTTGTTCACGTTTGTCCGTGGGACACTGGCTGAGACGACTGATCTGTATTTCTTCCACAACAAGTGAGTTTATAGACAAAATCTGCGATTTGACTGCGAGTAAAAGTACAGAGTCGACCGCGTGAGTTGTTTGGAGTTAACTCCAAGTCAGAACAAATAGGATTATAAAGTTAATATCAAAATCTTGTCTAGTTTTTTTTTGCTCATTCTTTTATTTCTTTGATGATAATAAATTATCTATGATTTTTATTTAAAAATACCTCACAATGTCAAATAAAATGAATTGAACTTTTAAATTCCGTATATTTACATTTATATTATAAATGTTTGAAATCATAAAATTCCGCCAAGTCCGACTTGCCATAATCGCAAAACTATAAAATTGTTTCTATCGATTGTTGGATAGGAAAATTTCATAAGTATGAATAAATCGAAAAATTGCATCAAAAATATCACACTTTTTATAAGTATCTATAAGACATTTTTCTATCAATTCTTATAAAATGTGTGATATTTCTGATGCAATTTTCCGATTTATTCTTATAATATAATAAGAATCTTTGAGAAACATTTGTATTGTAATTTATCGGAATACATAAGAAATCATTGAAAATATTCTAATAGCTTTGAACAAGAATCTATAAGTACGTTTTGTATTGTTTTTTATTGGAATTTGTAAGAAATTTTTGAGAATATTCCGATCGCTTTGGATAAGAATCTATAAGCATGTTTTGTATCGTTTTTCATCGGAATTTATCTTTTTATCACAAAAGAAAATCAGTTTCAACGAGGGAAATTTGAATTCGCTCTGGACGTTTCTTATTTACACGGATTTTTTGTTAAAATATACACCTGAAATGAAATTTATTAGAAACTTTGTCCGAAACATTCTATTCTAAAACATGGAAACATGACTTTCGCCTAATTTATTTGAGTTAAAAATTTGAAATAATTTAAACATAAATTAGGTTTGCTGCCTAGCAAGTATTTATAAGCAGAAATAAAATAATTGTCATTTATAAGATATGACAGCGAAAATGCAATTTAGAAATTATATCATTATCTCAATGTCTCATGATAGGATTTTATTTTATTCAAAAGGAATACATTAGAACAATTTCTGTAGAAAATCAATGAATTCTTATTAGTAAACGATTTTTATTAACATCATTCAATCAAAAGAGCATTAAAAATTGTTTTTAAAATAACATCAAAATCGATGCCAAAAAACTATTCTTTTTTTCGAAAAAATCTATAACTCAAAAACTAAAAATTATTTTTTGATGGAACCAATTTTCATCGGAAAGTATAAAAATTTACGGGTACGTGTCTTTGCAATTTTTAAAATGACATCAAAATCGATGCCAAAAAAAATATTCCCTTTTTTCCTAGATTTGTATCAAAATAAAGCAGATAAATTATTTATTTATTGTATGTATTACACATATGATAATCATTGTAAAAATGTTCAAGACACAATGATTTTTTACACCATGCACAAGGGATAATTGCAATATTTTTACATCCTGGAATTTCACAATGAAACTAACAGTTATCTCCAAATGAAAAATCGACTTGATTTTCAAATTCAGTAGACTGTACTTTTTTCAATTTTTGCTCAACACAATCGATACTTAAATTCCTTTTCTTACCACTTCGCCAATACTCAACTGCTCGCAATTTATAATCATCATGGATTGCAGATGCTTATTCTTCGTCTTCTATAATTTCTGGTTCCCAATCCTTATATGGTTTTTCAAAATGCATTGAATTCTCCTCCATCATTTCGATATCAGTATACACATTCATTGCATTTAATAATATTTGTTCAAAGTGATTCTTTAATTATATTTCAGCATCATTTACAGGTGTCTCCATAATTTTCGTAGTTTAAAATGTTGTTAAAAGTAACGGAATAAGATTATGGGGGTTAACTTTCATTTTCAACTATTGAGTGTTACACAATTTTTGGAATAAATGATAATAATATTTCTATAAAATTTTTAAATTGCGATTTTGGTTACTGTCGTTACTATTATTTTAAAAATTGCATCTTATGAAACACAGTCTCAGAGTTTCTTATAGAGATAGTTGATTTGTCGATAAAAATTATTTACCAATAAGTTCTCATTCTGTCTGATAATATTTTATTTTATAGAATTCTATACATTCGGATGGAAAATCAAACACTGTCACTTACTTATAAATTCTTATAGGATCTTATTTAGAACGGTCTAAAAGTTTTTTATGAATTCATTTAGAAATTGAGAATATTATTTGTTCATTGCTTCTTCTAAGTCTTATAGTATTCCTTCTTGCAAAATCTTATAACACTCGATAGAAGGAAAAATTATCATTTTCACCAATTGATTCTTATTGCATCTTGTGATATTTTTCTGATACATTCTTAGAAAATTTATTTAGAAATTAAAAAATATTATTCACCTATAATCCTTTATTGGAACTTATCATATCGTTCTTATTCATTCTTACATATAGATATAAAATTTACCAAAAATTTTTTTACTCTCATAAATTCTGATTAATTTTTATTGAATGATTCTATGACCATTCTTGGTCTTCTTTAGACTCGTTACCTTTTTATTCATTCTTGCAAATTGTGTATCAGAATCTATTGGCAATTGTAAGTTTTATCAGGTTGTTTTACTAGGGATATAACATGACTAAATTCGTTAAGATTTTTCAACAAAAAAATAATTTTCACATAGAACAATATTTATAGTTTGTTTGCAGCAAATTCATTAAAATATAAGGAGATTGCAAGCTAAAAATTTAAAAAAAGTATTAAAAACCATTTTTGCGTTAAAGACTGTACTTCTTAATTTCATTTAAAAATAAATAAAATGATTATAAATACACCTCATTGTCAGACTTACTTGGTTGTACTTTTTCGTGACAAGTAAAGAGACATTTTGAAAAGATCAGGTTCGACCTAAGTTTTTCAGAGAATTTTAGAAAGATTTACCGAAACTTTAGAGATAGTCCACTAATACTTCAAATCCATAGTAAGTTTTTATGCAATAGTTTTTCCGCGTAGTTAAGCAATAACTGTTTGTTAAAAATAGTAGATTTTAGAACGTTTGCTAATATCAATGAATAAGATTGTAAGATCGTTCACCAAATGAACTTCTTTTCGTCTGCTAGATCTCTCAAATGTATATGCAAGTTATACTTACTGTTAACTGCTAGAGAATAGCTAAACAATGACTATAAACGCGCCGAGTCTCTGCGCGAACTCAATCACGATTTGGTTTAGAAGACTTTCCAACGGATCATCTATATCATTAACATTACTTAAAAATTTAATGTGTATCTTAACAACAACAATATCTAGTGTTAGCTTAGTAATATTATGGAAAGTATTTTAATCAGAATGCATACATCATCAAATTTTTCAGTCAAACATAATCTATTTTTGGACTTCTATACATTAATTTACGTATTTATTTGTTAATTAATGAATATTAATCTTATTTTCCAATTTTCAGAGAAAAACAAAAACAATCTAAAGACGAACGAAAAGAAAAACGCAAAACACAAAAAGGAGAAAGAAGGCGGTAACGCTGATAATCTGTATGAATTATTCAAATATTACTTTTAATAAAAATTGGAAAATTTTTGCGGATAATGCTCAGCAGTATTTTCACTTATAAAGTACCAATAATCCTGGAATGACGGTGTATCTCAATTTCAATAAAGTTCAAAAAAAATAATTTTTTTTACTGTTTATTATTTAATAAAATGATCTTTCAATCCAGCCATTTTTATTGGTTATAACTGTATAAAATAGAAAAAAAAACTATTCACTATACGTGGATACTTACCACATCGAACTTATGACAATTAATGCATAAACATTAAGAAAGAAGTTATACTATTATATAAAATTCAGGTGTCTGGTTATTGCACCAAAACTGACATTATTATATGTCTGTAAAACATCGCGCCGAGTACATATCTCGAATGACTCTGTTATATCCGAAGATATTTATTATTAATTAATTTGAAGAATTAATTAAATGGGTTGGTAGCGGCTAAAAGGCTAAACGAGGGATCTTGGACTAACAGGGCTTTTCTCTTCTAACATATAATATACTGGAAGAATTTGTTATTTAGAAAGGAATTATTATTATTTATAACTGTTATAACAGAGCAAACGGAAGTCAGGTTTTAGAAAAAATAAAATATCTTTATTTTCAGTACTAACAGGTACACTAAATACACTGACAAACTTTTTGTTACTGAATATGAAGACTGAATGTGGATCAAAATCACTGAATGTCAATTTTTGATTTACTGAATTTTTTTTGAATGTCTGATAAATGCTTGACTTGGTGTGTTTGGTATTATTGACCTCCCACCCGAGCTCAACACGCTTCACAAGTCAAGAAGATGTGATTGTGCACGTGGCGTTAGCCTATCAATGCAATGCAGAAATGAGTGAATTAAAATACTCGAATTTACGTTGAATTGTCCTGAACTATTGATTGATTTCTATTGTAGACTACAACTTGAATGTTTCTGATGATTTACAGTGGCACTAGTACTGATGATTGACTCAAAGCTTTCAGATTTGTTAAGAAAGAACGTGAATGGCGTGTACACGTGAACGAGAGCAGTGAAAGAATGGCGACAGGAACTTCATTAGTCAAAAGGGACACTGAAAATTAGTCAAATGAGTGACTAGATTAAAAATTATTGATTATTTGGTCGATTGGTTATCGACCCAGTCCCAAGATGGCCGCCGAAGTTCCTGTCAGCTGGCAAATTCAAACTGAGAATTAATAAATTCTCAACAATCAAGAGATACGGCAGTGTCTCGTGCGCCAAGCATAAATCGCCGCCATTTAGCCCTTACGCCACGACGAGGCACTACCGTGTCTCTATACAAATTATAAGATGATTTTTGCAGGTTATAATTTTTAAATTTAAAATTTTTTTCGTATTCTAACATAAACATGGGCTGAAATTGATTTGGTGTCTAATATCACGTCCCCATAAGATTTTATTAGGAGGCGGGAGATTAGACACCAAATCGAAACCACTCTTTTCTTGGTTCTACTATATGAAGTATTATCATTGCTTTTTTCATAATATACGAAATTGAAAAAATTTCGTTGCACAAAAATTGAATAAAATGAGAGTTTATTCATGGAGCAATCATACGTTTTTTTTTATCAAGTTGGTGATCAGAGTTTTTAATTGCTATGAAGTTCTCTCACTAACAGATTATAAAGTTGGTAACAAGTTAATTTTGCTCAAGCGCGAATACACAAATAATTAAAATATTTTCTAAACAGATTTATTTTTTTTAATATGCCTTTTCAGTTGATATGTACACAAAATGGTGAAATCTCATCAAAAACAGCCCCTTCTTCTGGGCTGTACAAAAATGTGTGCCACGACAATGATAAAATGACAAAAAGTCCTAAAATAATTAAACACCAATTATTTAAATTTTTTTCTTTTGAACTGATATTTAACTTGTTTTCACGAATATTTTTTAGCAGTTTAATACGCGAGATCTATTTTTATTATTTAACCAATATTCAACCGTTATATACGTCCGGATATATGGAAAATTTTTTAGTTATTTAACTAGTTTTTAACTTATATTTAAATTATTTTATTCGGTTAAATACATAATATTTAACCAGGATTTTACCGAGATTTAACCGTGAATATACAGTTAAATACGCGAGTTATTTTACTGCTTTTTAACCGAGAAGAAACGGTTGAATTTCGGTTCGATTATTTAACCGGAATTTAACTGGTTTTTTTCAGTTTATAAAAACTGCGAGGGTTGAAATTTTTATGTAATAAAAATTATTAAAATCTTGTGAAATGTTAAGCCAATCGTTAATGCTGGTTTTTTTTTGTTATAAATTTTCGATCTATTAATCAAATGTATTTCTTTAATTTTGATACTATTTTGAATTAATTAAAAAAAAGATGTTCTAGGGAAAACTGATATAATAGGGAAAGTTTTCAGCTGGACTGATAAAAAGTTACTAATCATCTGACATAACTATAAACAAACTCTTTTTGTTGTTAACGAGTGTATATGTTGTTAACGAGCAGAGATTAAATCTTACGACGAAATTAGATTTTTTTACGTTGATTGTTAACACACATTGATTACTTTCCTTAAATCCTGTTATAAAGAAAGACGTTTCTAGAGTTAAGCTATTCAAACTACGGAATTATTTATTTATATCAGTTTATATAGTCGAACATAACCTATACTGCAAATTCTAGAGTATTTGTTATTTTATTGTTATTATTGTCATAAAGATTATCATAGGTATTGTAATTATCAAGATATTATGTATCAATTAAAAGATGATTTTTTATTATACAGATAACTGTTATCATTATATTTAAATATAACATTAATTATCATCATTATTCAATGCTAATTCTTATTTGAATTAATAATAATTACAACAGTAAAAAGAAAATTCGAAAAAATTTACATTTTTAGCCATAATATTTATTTCTTTTATTATTCAATAAACACAACAAATTCAAAAAATCTAATTCGAACATAAATTAGAGGATGAGGAAAAATTAACGTTCCATAGCTAATGATATCTTGTAAATTACTTTTTTTAATACAATCAGCATTTAACTTATCGTCGAAAGATAACGTCGCGCAGAACTTATAAATGAAGTATATTTAATCATCAATTATAAAAATTTCCTGTATTTCACTAAACTGTGGTAAACAAGTTTCATTACACTGTATTAAAATAACAGACTTTTGTTTAAATTCTGTTTCATATACAGATTTCAATTTTTGTATTTCCATTTTTGGAGTACGCAGCGATTAACAATTTTCTTGATCTTCTTCAGTTATGTAACGATAGAACCAATTTCTATAAGGCAAATCGTTAAAAAGAACAGTAACACTAGTGTGGATATTGTGTCCTTGATATAGAAATCTCGATTTGATACTTGAAAATGATATAAAACTATAAGCCATATTCTTAATATTTCTTACAATAGGCACTAATGATTTATCGTATACATGAGCGTTTTCAAACCTAAAACACCATTGTTGACGTGTTGGACCTAACAAATGAATACATGATGACAAATGAAGGAGAAAGTGAGCTTTTGTAACCAAACAATTTGGATATTCTAAGTTAAACTTCTAATATACAGTTCAATCATACGATTTAGTAAGCCTATTGCGTTTTCATGAATTTCATATGCTAAGCACATATTGAATATTTGCAATAGTCGTATATGTAACCATAATCTATCACGAATATCATTATCTTTGAGATCATGTACAGATCCTGCTATCAAAAATGGTAAACAGTGTGCTGAAACATACATTTGCGAAGCATTTTGACGGAGTTTAGAAATTAAATGTTCTATTAATATAACGGCTGGCATGTCACGTTTTAAATGTCCACAATAGTGAAAATTACAACGCCATAAATAAAAATCTTCTACAGAAAAAATTTGTTTCTCAATTATTAAATAATGCAATAGTTTTCTATAAGCTGACTCTACAACGCCTTCAATTAAGACATGCATTGCATCTTAAGGTAAACCAATTGTCACATCGAAATTCGGAGTATCCAATAATGGACTTTTATTAGTGACACCATATCTTCGCCTCCAGTATTTTGAATTTCGCCCAGAAATATTTGAATTGCTAATTGCTGTAATATGGGAAGCATGACTAACTTTATTTTTTAAGACACAATCTCTTTCGGAAAACGCATCTTTCCAATTTTCTTGTGTTACCATACAATGTCGACATAAACGATATGCTGATACAAATTTTTTAAACCCTTCTGATACAGCTGACACAGGCGTATTTCCTGAGCTAAACAATAAAGATTCTTTATAATTTTTGACTTCTCCATTCTTTGTGGTAATTGTAACGAGTTGGGATGATTTAAAAAAATTCATTTTCTTTGTAATGATTTGAAACTTTTTAAGAAAAGTACTATGTAGGTGCTACGCTCAATTTCTTGTAGAACAGGTTGACCATTTGTCTTTTTAGTCCATGTCAGTTCTTTATGGATAACATGCTCTTGAGGCAAAATTATTTGGAAATTTCCAATTAAAACTTCATCTAACTTTTTTTTAGAGTTGATTTCAGAAAATATGGATGATAATGGATATTTTTCTGTAAAACACCTTTTTACAATGTCGAAATTTATCAGATTTAACTCTGGATCAGATGCTTCCGGTAATTCATCTTGAATAAAAAATTATAAATGAACATTTATTTATAAACATACTAGTTGCTTGCTATGATAAAAAAATATCATTCAATCGGTATACGGAGAGAATTTTTTCACTAAATGTACACGGAAAAAAGGGCATTGTAACTTCTACCAGTATACCCGAACAAATTTTACAACGTGACGTAACACGGTGTTGCTTCGTTCATAAAATTGTAATAATTACATCTTTAAAATATGCGGTAATTATTACAACGTGAATTAATAAATCTTTCAATATAAATGAGTAAATAGTACATAAAATCATAATAGTTTCGCGATTGTAAAACTGCCCTAACTATCAATTATAACATAGCCACAATGTAATTTTTAAAGAAAACAGTAAAAAATATTACCGACTAATGTTTTATTACTATCAAGTTTAAATGTAATATTTGTAAATATTATGCATAAAATCTATTTATATTTGATAAAAATTTTATATTAATTCAATGGAATTTATTTGGG